ATAGTAATGATACTATTTTCGAAAAGATTTACTATTTTGATCTATAAAATAGGTTTAATTTACTCACACTGACATTTTCAGAAATAGCCATGTGTGAGATATCGTTTAGTTTTTTTAGTTAGTTGAGTACAAAACGGTTTTAAAGAAAGTAATCTTGGAGAAGTTGCAGCTGCTATGGGTGTAAGTGCAGGTGTAGAGTGTGGATGTGCTGTGCGAGTGTGGTAGTAGCTGTGAATGTTCTTTACTTTTACTTCCATGGCCTATATGGACAGCCACACGTAGATCCACACCTACACTCATACATCCAAACTCTCTATCAAGAAAAAAAAACAAACCTATGCCCTTTTTGTTTGGACTATGTGATAAAGATTCAGTGGTTTCTTTATGTTCTTTCGTTTTCATTATCAGTAAATATCATGTTATTTTGTCGTCAAGTTTGCGCAACTCGATAACAAACTTTGCACTATCTAAGTGATGTCTTAACAAGTAAGCTGTTAAAAATTACGTATGCGACACATCGATTATCCTATTTTAAATACTGTCTACGTCGTAAAAAGACAGAACTGAGGCTCTTCCCAACGTATGCAAGGCAAGAGAAGGAGATATCAAGAGAGCCTCAGAAAAGTTAGCTGTGTCGATCAATTTCATGAAGGAATAGAGTGTCCATTTGATAAGTATGGCGCTCACAATAGAAAGTTTTGTATTGTCAGTTAAATAGACCAGACATATTCGGGTCAAATTAAAGCTCTCACTGTGAAAGCAACAAAGGACACCACCGGATAAGATTGTAAATCTATCGCACGTTAGTAGGGATATCAGCGTTTCCATTCTTAGGAATAAGAACGCATCTAAAAATTACGTTTTCTAGCATTGGTTCAATATGGTGAGGTTTGCAAACATCTTCGCTTGTCTTTTTATGTTAGTGTTTGGCGTTCCAGTTACTATTAATGAAAACTTGTTGAGTTCATCGAACGCAAGGTAATTTTCTAATAATAGAGATATTTCATAAAGTTTGACCAAAGCTAATCGAGACCTAGAAATCCGAATCTGTGATCGATTTATCAAAATTTTGAGTTTATTTTCCAATACTAAAAAAAAAAATATTTTTTAGGAAAAAAGCGAGTTTTCAATTAAAAAAATTATTTGCGAAAAAAATCGTTTTTTACGAAAAGAAATTTTTCAATGAGAATGATCAAAGTCAAAATTTTGAGACATCCATTACAAATTCGGATTCCTTGCCCTGATTACCTTCGGTCAAATTTTATAAAAAAAAGCATAAGGCTTAGAAAATAAGTAGGAGGTCGGCTCGTTGAGCCTTCCTTAGCTTAATCCTGAACGCAAGAAAATATAGTATAGAACATTGATTCCCATGTCGCTAAAGATATTTCTAACTAAGATAAAACTAAAAGCCATGAAGTTTTTCTGTGTCAACATAAGGAGCAGGTTATATTGCAGTCTATTATTTTTCCGACAGCTTATAGTTGATTATTCTTCTGGCTCTAAAGCGTATGTATTTGTAGTGATGCTGGACTCAATTTTGCTCGATTGCATTGGTCAAAATATGTGAAAATATGAGTAGGTAGTATATTATTTATTTCAAAAAAGCTCCAATAAAACTTCCTTCAAGATCTGAAATATTTTATAAGATTTCAACGCTATTCTTTTAATCGCAAGGCTGTTAGACAAATACCTTTATTCTAAAGGATGGGCCATGAAATGACACTAGAATAAACAGTTGAAATATCTCCGATTCGGTTCGCTTCAATAGGCTGACTTTTTGGTTACTACAAAAAACTTGTTTAAAGTTTGTCTCTCATACAGATAACATAAACCCCCCAAATATCCAGTCATATCTGGGTGTGAGTGTGTGCATACTCTTATTTCTCATACCCACATACCACGCACCCAATCCGACACCTACACACCGGTTCTCCTTGTTACATTTGCTTCTTTTCATGTATTCATTAGATTATCTATTTTGAACTAATGTCATTTCCATCTTCTGTCAGCATTCCGCGTATTGTAACAATCGGCAGCTCGTATAACGATGGTTGTGCTGGAATCCAATCGGATATCAAGGTTTTTACCTCATTGTCGACAATTGGCATGTCAGGTACGATTTGAACTGCTTTTGTTTACCTGTCTCAAGTTGATTCTGTTCTGTCTCATAACTGTTAAGATTGCTTTTTTTTAAATAGTGATTACTGCCTTAACAACTCGAAACAATTGCGATGTGGAAGTCATGCATATTGTACCCGATGAATTTATTTCGTCACAATTCCATAATATGGACACTAGGATCGACGTTGACGCTATGAAAATTGGTATGAGTCCATCTATGTTCATCATTGGATTTCAACGAAATATCTTCAGGAAGAATTCATTTCATTTGATCTCATTTCATTTCATTTAGGTGTGCACATTTCACCAACTCTTATCGAATACGTAGTGTCTTTCATTACTGAAAAACAGGTTCCTATTGTGGTAGTGGGTCCCATTATGGTTACCACTAAAATTGATCCAGAAAATCTCATCAGTTTACGCAAAAAACTTTTGCCTCTTGCTTCTATTATAACGCTTACCCTAAGCGAAGCAGCAGTTCTATTGGATCAGGAGATTATCTCTCTGGACGATATGAAACGTGCTGCCCAGGATTTGCATCGTCTGGGTTCGAAACATGTCTTAATCAGGAGAAGTCAGTTGGTCGATTCTGTACCACTACAACTTCAAACTAACACTGATAATAACACTGTTATGAACGTATTGTTCGACGGCATTAATTTTACTCTATTCAAGAGTTCACTTGTACCAGAAAATAATGTACGAGATGCCCAGTGTAAGCTATCTGCTGCCATCACGGCTTTTCTAGCGCATGGTATCAACACGATCCTTGCCGTGAAATATGCTGTCGCGTATACTGATGGAGTCATCCACAACTCACTAAATCAAAACGACGGTAGTGATATGCCCAAGCATGACTTCCAACTGCTCACGAAATCGTTGCCGGATGGATTGTTGAGTTGTATAACGGAGCATGAACCAATGGTAGTCAACGAGCAACAACACGAACAGTTACAGCCGAAAAGTGACTATAAAGTAGCGTCCATAGGAAATCAAAGTTGGATCTTTGAACCACGCTTAATAAGACAAGAGCGATCATTTGTGAAACTGCTACAAAATGGATGTGTGAAAGAATGGGTATAGTTTCTTTTCTTTTTGTGAAATACGATCTGAAAAGGAGTGTTGAAGTGTATAGGGTAAACATTTTGGATCCACTTCCCCCGCCCATTCCCTCAGACCGTTACGGACATTTTAATTAATTAATTAATTAAGATTTAATTAATAAGTTGACCATCACAGGCCGTTACGGACAGGTTTCCAAGGCATCGCACAGTATGACAGACGGGTTTCGAGGGCATCGAAGAATGTGATAGATGTTCTTGATACACGATTAAAATCTGTTTGCCAGGAGGCTCTCATTGAAATGAATGAACTAATTTCTTATAATTGTTCTAAAGGATTATATAACGAGTTCTGACCTATTTTATTAGAAAAGAGATCAAAAGAAACGACTTTTCGTTGATAAGCAACAGACAGCTGCATCGTGTTTCACATTTTTAATCCCGAAGGGATTGCACTAACAGCTTTCTCTTGTTGCTTTGCATGAAGAGAGAGATGAGCTTGAAAAATAAAACAAATGAATGTATGTGTTATCTCTATATCTAGTTCGAATATACTCACCACCCGTTCGTGCAAGGGTTAGCCGATGGCACTTTGCCACATGCGAGTTTCAAGCACTATCTGATACAAGACTACCTCTTTCTGACACAATTTGCTCGATGCTACGCTTTAGCTGCGTACAAGTCCAACACCTTGACGGAGATATTGCTAGCTGCTGAACATGTGACGAACATTGGTCGTGCGAGTGAACTCCACGTGTCTTATTGCTCCGAATGGGGAATGGACGCTGCCAGTCTAACGTCTACCGAAGAAGCTTGCGCTAACTTGGCCTACACCCGATTCGTTCTCGATTGTGGCATGACTGGAGACTTATTTGACCTTCGTGTGGCGCTTTCACCCTGTTTGCTAGGATATGGTGAGATAGGATGGCGTCTATTCAATGATTCAAAAAGCAAACGTGACACACCGTACTGGAAATGGATCTCCTACTATGCTACCGACGACTATCAGAAAGCGTGTCGTACTGGTGAACTGTTGATTGAGCGTTTGGCGGACGAGTACGGTGTGTGGCATGCAAAAGCTCGCATCGAAAAGCTCATAAATACGTTTAAAACTGCTACAAGGCTCGAAATCGAATTCTGGGACATGGGATTGAATGTTCGATGGTAAATGTACGAAAGGAAAAAAACATGACGAGTGAATACTACGTCTAGCATGAAAAAAACTGTCTTGCTTGTTTTCATCATTCATATAATTCATTTTCTTATATGTTGAAACTCTAATAGTTTCTGCTGTTCAACATGAATACCTTTGTTCTGTGTTATGTCACAAACATTCCCACAAAAGAGACACTAAGTCTTTTTCGACTGTGATTTCAGTGGAGTAATAAGTAACGAACAACTGTAATTTTAGATTGCACTCCTGCAGCCGATCACGGAACATTTTGGCCAGATCAATCTATATGAAACTGCATTTCTTTGGGTAGGTGTGTGGATGTTGGTAGGGCATGAGTGTAAGCGTGGATGTAGATATAAAGGGTGGGCAATAAGTTCTGACCCACTTAGTGTATAGCATTTTTTTACAGTTTACTTCACTGAGTAACGTTGATATTTATAGTACGTATACTACGTTTGTCTATACATCAAATGTCGGAATTTCAGGTTTCCGATTCTGACTGATAGTACAATATCAGCGCTTCAAATTTCATAGAGAAAAAAACAAAATTTGATCACAGCGTTTTATTCGTCATGTTCGAAGAAAAACTAATTGAACAAAGCATCTTGATTATGTGACCGTCCAAAATAAAACGAAAGTAAGTACTAATGATCATGTATCTGTTCTCCATCTTGATCGATAATTTGTCGCAATCGATTTGGTATCTTTTTGATCATTTCTTTACATTTAATTGCAGTAAAATTTTTCCATTGTTTAACAATCTCCTTCTTCCGTTGAGCTTCATTTTTAAACTGTTTTCCCCGTATTTTCTCCTTTATCGCGCCCCATACACGCTCAATCGGCCAAACATCGGCAAATTTCGCATCATCATCTTCAGGACTAATACGTTCATCGAAAAAAGATTCTATAGTAGTCATCGCAAATGATGTTCGTTGTTTACTATCCTGATCATCTTGAAAAATTGGCTGTAAATGTGTATTTTCAAAAGCTCTTTGAATTGCAGGTGCCACCTTTTCTGCCACAAATTTTCCGTATAATTCACCTGTTAAATACATTCGTGGACCTTTACCATTTGATGGTTGTTGACGCAACCATTCAGTTAAATTGATTGGAGCCGTCGCCGGAATAAGTCCTTGTGATGAAATCGCTCCCCAAAAAATGATTCCTTTCTGAAATTTCTCTGTTGGTGCATTTATTAAAGATGATGGTATTTCTTCTCCTTCTTCTGCCCAGATACCGTCATTTCTTCTATTCTGAAACGGTTCTAGGGTAAATTTACCACTGAAATCGGTGTTCACTATTCGATCCCATTTCCATTTCTTTGCTTGTTTTCGGATTCCGTATTTCAATAATAATCGCTTGGTGCATTCTACTCTTCTAATCTTGTTGTTAACTGTTAGTTTTTGCGACTTTTTTGTTTTATACCATTTTAATTTTAATTTGTGTGCAGTGTTTCGAACAGTGGTCGCACAACATTTAACTCCTTGCCTATTCAGGGCTGATGTCACATTCCGGATAGAAGCACCTTTTGTTAATCTCATGGATCTTTTCACTTGTTGTTGAAATGTTGAAGTTACTATCGTCGTTGGACGTCCTGATCTTTGTTTATCTTCGACTGTACCTCTCTTTAATGTTCTATTAACTCTTTTGATAGGTGCATGTCTTTTCAATAATGGCGGATTTTCAGATTCTTGAAGAAATGTTGAAATATCAGGAGCTTGCCATGAGGGATTCAGTTTTTTCAAACCCAACACAATCGAGCGAAATTGTTTCTTGTCTTGCGCAATATTTGACATGATATCGAGTATAAAATTTGTTTGATCGTAACTTAGAAACAAAAACTCCACGTAAATTTAAGTTGATTAATTTCAACACTAACTAGTAATCGATAGAAGATCAAGAAAGATTAAAAGCAAGATTCATTCCCGAACGCTCTCATCGAGAAGCACGTTGATCTTTCTGACCGTTATTTTTCTGTCCTTTTCTCTTGTCCATGTGGATTCTAATCGAAAGAAAAATAGTCTTAATTTTTCGCGATGCATTACTGCGTGGAGAAACAACAGAACGCAAGAGTGACTCGTAGCAGTGATGAGTCATTGTACTATGGGTCACCAAATTACTGGTTTTGCGAGTTGATATCTTTCACAGAGTATATAGAAAATTTCCATAAAGTTTTATGATGCTGGTATTCTACTATCAGTCAAAGTCGGAAACCTGAAATTCCGACATTTGATGTATAGACAAACTGAGTATACGTACTATAAATATTAATGTTACCCAGTGAAGTAAACTGTAAAAAAATTCTATACACCAAACGGGTCAGAACTTATTGCCCACCCTTTATACTATTTATATTAGATCAAATATTGAAAACATCCCCAATCAAAACCGTATTGAAAGAAAAAATTTTCAAATGAAGGTACCAGTATCAGTCTAAACCTTTTGTTTTTCATTCTAATCTTTTGTACATCTATATACTCTCTGCTGAATAATACTGTTTGATATAATCTACTTGACTGTAAAAGAACAATTTCTCTCGCAGCAAAAAATACAATAAGCGACATTAATCCGAAGAAAAAGAGTAGTTATTGCTTTCCAGTATGTGGATATCTTTCTCTCTTTTTCATAATTCTTGTTCATCAACATGAGTAAAAAGAGTATTATTCGATAATGAGAATCATTTAATAACTTTCTTTTCAATTATTCCATTCTTTAGACGATCTTATATCTATACCGAAATTAAATTGATTTAAATTTAGTGCGAAAACATAATGTCAATAATCTTATTATGATCTGAAATTTCCAAATAATAAATCTTCACTATATTATACAACTAGTTTCAATTGTACACTTGATAATGTAACCTGAAAACGATCTTGTGTAAGTAGAAAGCAAATCGATGGCATCCCGAACAAGACCAGTTAGATAAGTTTACTTTTCTGTTCTTAAACTATTTTTTTGTTTGTTAAAAAAGAAATCTAGGTAATTGTTTTTTCATTTCTGCTGTTAGTATAATAATACAAAATAGCGCTATTTTTGAACGTGTTTTTCCGCTTGATCAAACTTATAACAAACAACATTATGCTGGTATTTATCTTCTTTTTTCAAACATAAAAAATTAGATTTGTCAATATATTCACATAGGAATATTTCATTTTCGAATTTGGAAAATGGGTTGATTATCTACCGACAATAAATAATCGTTTAGTTTTTGTTTAATATAAAAGAACTATGTGAATTTTGAGTAAAATAAAAAAATAAAAAAAATAGCTGGATTGCGCGTTCGCTTATATTTCGCCAGGGATCGAACCTGGTTATTCAATTTCAAAGATTGAGATACGTACCAATGTATTACGAAGGAAGCGAACAGCTATGATTTGCCAACCATTAGAGTTGCCCACGCATAACATTCTTATGAAAGTGACATTTAATGGTATTGTGCAATTACATTACCTATGCGAATTGTAAATATTAAAAGAGAAAGAAAAACCAATCGACTATGTGATGAACTCAGAAGAATATTATAGAAGTTGGAATTTCAATAGTTTTTGCAGTAATTTAACAAATTAAATTTTTCATCTTGATTACATTCTAAGCAAATGTGACATTTTGATTAGGTTATTTGATATTTTATTGTGCTAACATCTAATATGAACACATGATATTTATTGAAATGATATAATTAGACACTTTTATATTGTAGACTGAGTTATTCTTATGAAGATATTAATACTCTAGTCAATATGGCTGATGATTTTTTTTCTTATCTTCCTATAGATTAATTGTGGCAAACAGTAGGGACAGCACTGAAACATGTTGCAATGATTGGTTGATCTATTTCAGTATGTACTTGATTTCAATTGTTTTTGATTAATAAGAATTTTCAAGCCAGATCTAAACAAACGGGAACCTAAGATGGTTAATTGTCTAGTGAAAGGTCATATTTATGTTGTAGCAGCTGTTGTTCGTGTTAAACTTTCTAGCGATGGTTTCGTTCAAATAGTTCGTTCTGTTGAAATTCATGGAATACTAAAATCGAATGGAAAGACGGTTGGAATGATGAGTAAAATAATTTTTTTACTTTTTAACATTAGTTTCTTGTGAATGTTAAAGATAAAATTCATTGGAATTCAGTAGATCCATATACATGAAAACAATTACGTCATACAAAACAAACTGATGGTAAATTTTAGTAAAAAAAAACGAAAGATCAATGATCATAATTAGAATATTTTTCTGCGCATGGTAAACAAAGATGCTCTATTCAGATTCGTTAAAACATTTTGAACAAGTACAAATTGTCGTCATTCACTTGATTCATTCGAATGACAACTTACTGTTCAACAGATATGCGTGTAGAAAATTGCATATTGATGCTAGTTATCATTTAGAAAGGGAAAACATATTACTTGGCACCAAACGCAATTCAATGGTGTTTGGATTAAAGGACAAACAGCTGGTGGATATGGACAACCAAAACTTAGTTAATAAAATTACCCAACTGTTCTTATTCTCAATATTTAACTAATCTTACAAAACTGATGTTTAATGTGGCAATTGCTTATATAGAATAAACAAGAAAAGCAGCATTATTCTTCAATTTTTATACATATTTTCGTGTTTTACTTATTTATTTTTCTATTTATTATCACGGAGTCGTCTTTATGATGTATTTTTAAACTTGTTATTGATATTTTTCAATTCAAAGAATTTATACTCGGAGAATACATTGCTTATTATCTTGTTACCTATTTTTAATGCTTGGAACAATATGATGGTGATAAAGATATTTTAATTTCTTATAAAAAGCTAAAAAAAGTTCTCCCTATAAAATTTTGTAGTAAAAATAATGCTCTGGTTTTCTCTGATATTTTTTCTTTCTGCAATTAATATCAAAATGATAAAGTTTCGATAAGATTCATTTGTTGTAATATGTGATGATAATATTAAATAACATTTTGTCTTCTTGATGTTCATTTTGTTCTTTTGTTTCGTCTCCTCTAATACCTCATCATCTATACATTTTAATGTATACAAAAAGTGATGCCAATAGTAAAAAAAAGGAGTATAGAAACAAATTCATCAAGGTTTTACTTTTGTCAACTTAATCAAATAAAATCTAACTGATATATTTCTTTCAAAATTAGACGGCTCAATCTACGTTGCTGATTGTTTCAGTAATAGAACTTAAAAATAGCAAGTGAATACAACAACTCGTATCACTATTGCAAGAAGCTCCAATGAAACAGCAGGTAGTACCTCATACCTTATAAATTCATCAAAATATATGTTTTATCAATTAACTATTACATCATAAAAATAGTTGATTTGTCTGCTCATGTCATTGTTTTGTGACTTGCTGTTTTAAATTAAACAGAATACTTCAAAACTGAAACAAGTATCTAAAAAACATCAGAAGACTATTTGATATTGATGTATTAGTCGTAAAAAAGTTTTAATGAGAATGAAATTGAGTTTTACTAAACAACGGTGAAATTAATATTTTTGTAAAAAATGAAATTCGCGAATCCCGACACCCACACTTTCAATGAGGACGTTATTTTTGTTGTTGTTTATTACTCTATATGAGAAATTCATGAAGAATTAATAAAAAAAATAATTTATTTTGTACGAAAAATCCATATGACAAAAAAAATTGTTTTATACAAAGCCTTGACGAGATATTTATTAATCATGAATAAAAAACAGAGATCTATCTACTTTATTTTACAAAAATACAGTTATATTATTATACTCTATAACAATTCAGACGATTTATAGTCCTGATAGCCAATATGTTTGAACCAAATAAAACAGCATTACGAGCTGCTGGTTCGTATGAATGCTTTGGCTTTACTTTTCCATCTTTACTAACATGTAAAAGACGTGAAGCATTATGATCGATTACAAGCCATTCGTCATATTTGAGTGAACAAACACGATATACCGGTTTCTCAATACTATACATTCTATCAAATGAGAGTGACCAGAGTTTTTCGAGTGTTGATGAAGATCGAAGTTCTATGCGCTCTGTTTCATTGTATTTCTGTAATATTATTAAAGTAAATGTTTCATTGTATTTCTGTGATATTGTTAACGCAAGTGTTCCATTGTTATAAGCAACATTATGAATAAGTTCGTTGTAGTTACAAGTTTGAGGAGGTTTCCATTGTTTGATGAAATGAAACGACGATAAAAGATTGAATTGAAAAATATCAGAACCGTAATCATTTGTGGCTAGAAATAGAGATGTATCTGAGCATGTACAAGATTGCCACTGTTGCTTCTCGATTGTTTGAATGCATTCAATTGATGTTAGATTTTCGTTAATTAGAAAAACTTCATTTTTTTTTGTTATTATAATATAACTATTTATAGTCGATGACCAACACATATCAGAAATGTGATCATATTCCCATGAAGATTGTTTTACAAGAGTCAATTCTTTATTAAATAAACATAAATTTGGATATTGATCTACTAGTAAAAATTGATTGTTGCTTGTCAGTACAGGCCATTCATTATTGAAACAATCGATGGATCGGTAAGGAGACGAAAGATTTGATATATCAAGTTCATTTGATGGCGATTCTTCAATATAAATTAAATTTTGATTAATAATTAAAGGATGAACATCAACTAAAATGCCATTCTCTTCAAATTGATTAACATCACGTTTGATATCATTAATAGTTGCTATCAATGAAAAAATATCATCATGCGTTGCTTCTTGTTCTTGAATAAGTTCGTTTGTTTTTAATTTCAATTGATGAATTTTTTTTCGTTTTTGACCAGCTTGTTCAATACAACGTTGTTGAAGTTCTTGACATTTTTCTTCATAAAAACGATCGATTATAGTATGACAATCATGACTCCATTTATCTAATTTTTGACGACATTTATCAATCACTTCATCAACATTTAATGCCGACATCTGATTATGCAGAGTATTAATTTCATCATCAAGAGGATTTAGTTGAGAATGAATTAAATCATTATGTTCTTTCAAATGATCAAGACAAAGATTCTTGCTACAACAATGACATAATGCTCGTGATTTACGTTTGCAGGTGTCGATAGCACACGGTGAAGACATTATTTTATCAAAATAGTGATTTTGTTTTGCTAGCAGTTCAGGATATATAGAATGCCCCAAGTAAACGAAAAATGAATGAGGACGTCCGACTTGACTAGTCGGATATGCACATTATCTGTCACGTCAAGTATGAAATGTCAAGCCTATTCATTATAATCGATTGTCTTTATGAGAAATGTCCTGCAGCTATGTTTAGATTAGTCCAGAATACGCTTACATTCATCATGTCTAATTCATTTTATCTATTTATTCCCATGTCCAGACTACTCACCGGAACACAAAAGCGACAAATAAAAGAGATAAAGAATGGATTCGAGTATATGGCCGACAATATCCGACATGAGGCAGCAGACTACGATCTAATCACCGATTGAGATAATTTTAAACAGTCCAAAGAGCAGAATGATGTTTGATTATCCTATATGTAATCAAAAGTGACCGAAGAAAAATAAGTTGATTAGTCTAGAATCACAGGTAGGCAGACCATTTTCTGAATTCATTGAGAAAATCAGCTGTAACTTTTTTTCACATAAAGAGTATGACTGTAAGTAAAACGCGATCTAGTTCAGAAATGTTTGGTTACAAAATTACATATTTGATTAAAGTTTTCCTGCCTTATTTAAACCACATTACTTTACTAAAGTCAATTACTTGATTTCTTGTTCAAGTCATTGCTTTGATACAATCTATATCAGAGATGTTGACGGGTTAACCCGTTTTGCATCAATCCGCCCGACCCGTAACCCGCGGGCGGGTTGGATCTTTGACGGGTTACGGGTTAACGGGTTAGGTATTTTCAGGATTTACGGGTTTGCCCGGTCGGGTTATATTTTTACATGAACCCGCTGGTTCAACCCGTTTCAACCCGTTGACGAATTTTCCTTTTCGTCTTCTCATTTTTTCTTTTTTACATAGACTTACGTTCACTATTTGTTTCATTTCTTCTTTCCTCCGCTGATTCAGCTGCTCTCACTATTTCTTTCGTTCTTCAACATCTAAATTTTTTCTATCACTTGTTTTCACTATATCTTCGTTCTATTCATTCACCTAATTGTTTTGAAGCATATACACATATAAATGCGCTTCTCTTTCTAAGCTTGGTTACAGAAATAATAATATCGATCAATTTTTTTCATTTCTTCACATTTTCCCGATCCGCTTCTTTTTACATCGTATACGTGAACGTATGCTGTTACTTTCACTTGACTATTTATTTTCTTGAACTTAACTTGAAATTTTGTAATACTTATGTATGTGCTCAGGAATAAAAGATAATATCCTAATGATAAAAATGTTAGTTTCAAAACATACTAAAAAAAGAACCAATTAAAAAAAAGCAAATGAATTTTTTGCAAATATTATACTGATTAAAGTTACATTAACCCGCGGGTTAACCCGCGGGCAGCCCGTGACGGGTTGATAATTCTTCAACCCGTAGACTAACCCGCGAGTCAAAAAAAAATCGTTCAACCCGTCAAGCGGGTCGGGTTCGACCCTCAACGGGTCGGGTCAAAAAAAAGTCAGTCACCAACATCTCTGATCTATATCCTGTCTGAAAAAACGAAAAATCCCAACTAAAGATGTCTGTTTGTAGCTTGAACATTTTTCAACTTGCAACATTTGAATGAAAAATGATACTTTTTATGAGCAAAAAGTTATCAAAGATTCTTCTATGTACTTGAGAAAATATCAATCCTAGTATACACTAGTCTAAAATTACTAAACAGACCATTCTGTTTCGACTGGTCCGTATCTGAGTCCAAAAAAAGCAGAAGATGATATAAAGTCATTTTTGAGTATTTGTACTATGTTGTACAACAACTGAACAATAATTAGACTCCATAAGAAAATGAATCGAATAGTAGAATAGCAATCATTTCGCTATTTTTTTAACTAAAAATCAACTGGTATCAGGGAGAGAAATTAAAAGATACTTAAAATTGTGCGTATTCTTGAAACTCACCTTTGTTGAAGTTCAATATTCAAAAGCATACAGTATCATAAGAAAATATGGTTTTCTCTTCATAATTGACGGCTAAAAGTGGTTTATTGTATCATAATTATGAAAATAGTACCATCTTATAAATTTATATCGATATACCTGTAAGTTGTTACTGTTCTTAATGTTGTTCGCCGATTAAAATGATAATATGAAGTATTCGGAAAAATTAAGAATAAATGTCAAGAGTTGACTACATATTATTCATGTTTTTATATATTTGAACGTATTGTATTCACATTTTTGTAATTTTGTCTATTTCATATCAAAAGGTGTATTGAGTGGTTCTTCAACTGGTAAAGATGTGTACTTTTTTATATGACAAGTACCAAATTATATTGAATTAGAAAGAAATACATGAAAATACAACGTATGACCATCGGCGGGCCGCCAGCTGGCAATTGGTGGCAATTGCCACACCTGAAAATATTATTAGCGACACAGTTAAATCTAAAATACACTTTCCTATAACCATTGGTGGGTCACCATATAGTAGAGTCCTGCGGGACAAACTTTTCTTCGGTCGCATCCCCAAATTTTTATAAGCGTGCCGATCTTGAGGACTTACTCCGAATTGTTTTTTTTTTGAAAAATTCGGGCTCCGAATGTCTTGTGCGTAATTTTCTCTAAATGACCCGCAAAATCCTGTCTGTCCCAGTATCCAAAACAAATATAAACATATGGTTGTGTGAATAACCGGTCGTTTAGACGTGGATAAAATTAATAACTTCGTATTCATTAAACGTAATATGTAAAATACTAAAAAAAATGTATCGTTCGGGCCATGAAATAGATAGAAAAAAAAAACTAGTGACATTTCAAACGATTCTCTATCTTCAGCAGCACCACATACAAAAATTTAGTTATCAAATAAGGCGAAAATGATGAAAATGATTAAAATGATTAGAATAAAGAATTATAAAACATTTATAAATAAATTTTTACCTGTTTTTCTCGTTTTTCATATGAAAAATTATTTATTCACAATAAAAGAAATGTCATTTGTAATTGTAGGACATGTTGGAGATAAAGATTAATGAAGTTCGGGACAATTTTTTAAAAGTTCTGATTCCGACTGTTGCGCGCGAAATTTCTTTTCTAAAGTTCCGATCTCGGCTGTCCTGTGCAGAAAATTTTTGGGACAATTTCACTTGTGCCACGGGACAGAAGAAACGGGATTTTTCGAGATTTAGTTCTGTTTTGCAAGACTCTATCATATAACAATTGATGGTAATTGCCACACCTCGATTCAAGATGCTGGCCCGCCACTGCGTATGACAGTTACTTTTTAACTAGGATTGTCGATTTATGTTCTTTAAAATTGATTAGATTGTAAAGTATTCGAAATAATTTGAATATGTGTTCAAAGTACATAATATTCGTTTATTTTCAAGTTTTAATTATAATAAGATAGTTTTTTTTTCAAAATGATGATTAATAATGTATTAATTTGTCATAATCATCATATGTCCAACATAAGAAGCATGAATTGATCAAGTTCTAACTTTTGAAAATAAACAATATCACTGTTTTTGAGTTTATCGGAACACATAATAGTGCGTTGAAACCTACTGTAGATATAGATGGACGTATACAACAGACTTATTTCTCACTGAAATCAATGGTTAGAATAATAACGAAAAGTAGAAAATAAATAACAACAAGAGAACAAAGAGAAATAAAATAAAAAACTTCTGTTCAAAATGCAGAAATAAATCAGACAGATCGGTTCTCTAGTAATTAATTATGCTTGGAAAGCAACTATCATCTGTTAGCTGTTTTTTACTTTACGTATTTTGTATTAGTACAATGAAAGCATTTCAGTTTCATCTTTTAGGATAGTAATGAATTACATTCATCGAGCACGATTTTTCTTTTTAAAACTAAATCTATCTAATTTAGTTATTATTTAGAAGATGAGTCAATTGTTACGTGTCAAAAAGCTAATTATTTTCATGTCTATTAATTAATTTCTATAGTTCTAAGAATAATATTCTTTCTAAACTAATTATGATTTATATCTCTTAGATATTCATTTCATCAAATAGATAATGTCGTCATTATCCAAATTCCTATTGAAGATGATAAAAATAAATAAATAAAAGTTAAATCAACAGATACAAATAAGTTAATATTTTATTTTAACTCAATATTGATGTTAATATACCATCATCTAGTAATAATTATTCGTTCGAACTTGATTTTTATTATCCAAGTGATTCATCATGTACTAATATTACTATTAATTTTTCATAATATATAAAATTAATATTAATTAAACTTACATCATCTTCTAGATCTAATGTAGATTGAGATAAATTTTTGATAAACAACAATCTATTGAATGATCATCAGCAGGTATGAATTCAACAATACAAAAAGCATAAACTTATTTATCATCATCAAATAAAATGAGTAGAAAATTCAGAGAATCAATGGGAAGAAGAAATAAAGAAAAATGTATAAGAAAATAATGATAAAATAAGTGATGCAAATGTGTATATTGTTATTTTTTTGTTTTATAAAAATCCATATTCTGTTTGCAGTATTTTTCGACGAGTTGATCAAGTTGATGATGATTTTATATAATATTAAAAAAATTCCGTCTACTAGATGTATTGTTTCTGCTGATATTAATTAGCTTGAAAACATTGTCTATATGATGCAGGTGAACTTGTCTTTGTATCATATAATAAAAATGAACAATGAACGAAGGATTTCACATAATAATATTTTTCAACAAAAAAAACCTATCAAACAGCAAATATGCTTGAGAATGATGAAGATAATATTCCTAATTTTTTTTTATATAGATTTATTTGCACTTTTGTTTTGTTGGTGTGGATGTGGGTGTGAGTCTGACGATACAGAGAAACAAGCACCGACAACCACACCCACTGTACCCACACCCACATCCAAAAATTACGATAAAGCTCTTGATTTTCATTGCAAATCGTTAGCAATCTACGAAAAATACTATCATTTAAGTCATCAGTGCATTGCATTGGCACTTAATAACATGTCAGACATTCTTCATCGAGAAGAGAAATATAATGAAGTTATTGATATTCATCGTCAAGCAGTAGCAATGGAAAAGAAACGTTATTCAGTTGATTATATGATTATCGCTTACATTTTTTCTACTATGGGTCATATTTACTCTGAACAAGGAAAATATGAATCTGCTTTAGAATTCCAACAGCAATCGTTGGCAATACTAAAACAACACCTATTTTCTGGTCATCCTGATCTTAACTGTCTTTTGAATAACATTCATTATCTTCTTTGTAGATTAGAACAGCTTAATGATGCTATAGATTATCATCGTCGAGCACTTGCTATGCATGAGAAATATTATCCATCATATCAAGCCAGCGTAGCACATATATAGTTACTGTTATCGGAAATGCTCTAAGCTACCAAGAGGAATACGAAGAGGCGTTATGCCGTCATAAGCAAGCATTGATGATGCAAAAAGAACTACTACCCAACGGGCTATGTAAATATAGCTTGTACATTTGAAAACCTAGGTGATATATTAAACCAACAAGAAAAAATTGATGAAGCATTGAAATGCTACCAGCAAGCGTTTACGATGCTCAAAAAAAAATACTGTCCATATTCTCTTGGTGATATTTCTTATTGTTTAATTCTTATCAGTTTGACTCTTAATAATCAAAAAAAAAAATTCGATATAGTCATAGATTACTTTCAAAGAGGATTAGAAAATCAAAAGTGTTGGTATGGTTCTGATCATCCCAATATTGCTGATGCTCTTGTCAGCGTTGGTGATGTGCTCCGCCGTCAGAAAAATATTATGAAGCCATGTTAAATCTTCAAAAAGCTTTAGAAATTCAGTAGAAATATTATCCTTCAGGATATGTGAATATTGCTACAACGCTCAATGAAATCGGTTGGTTACTGCAAGATGAAAAGAAGTATGATGAAGCATATGAATTTTATGAATAATCACATTCATTACTTGTGAAACTTGGAAGCAATTATCCTTCGAATCAATTACACATTGCTTACAGCTTAAGCAAAATTGGTAATGTTCTATATTTAGAAGATAAGAAAGAAGAGGCTCTTGAATATCAACAACGTGCACTATTGATCAAAGAAGAATGTTTGCCATCTGATCATTGTGAAATAGCCACTGGTTACATATTGATTAGTCTTACATTGTGTAGTCCAGGTAAATATGTTAACGCATATGAGTTTCAAGAAAGAGCACTCAATATACGAGAAATCCATCGTCCGTCAAATCGCCTAGAAATTGCCAGAATTCTCAACAACATTAGTATTGTCCTCCGAGAATAAAAAGGGATGCGATGAAACTGTTTACAACTATCAACAAGCGTTAACAATCTTTGAAAAGCTCCATTCATCTAACTACAATAATAACATTACTATTCTGAATAGTATTGCTCATATACTTTGCGATCAAGAAAAATACAATGAAGTGCTTTTCTATCGACAGCGAGCATTAGCGATTAGAGAAGAACATTATTCATCAAATTATCAACAAATTGCGAATGATCTTAGAAACATTGCTAATGTTCAAGTGCACCTAAACGAGTATGATAAAGCTATCGAAGTCTATCAAAAAGTGCTTTCCATCAGAGAACAATTCTGTCCATCTGATCTAGCTGCAATTGCTGATAACCTACAAGACATCAGTTATGTTCTACAGCAGCAAACAAAGTACGATGATGCTCTCGCATTGAAGCCCAAAGCATTAAAAATCTATGAAAGATTATATCCAGATAGTCATGCTAGTACAGGTTCGTGTCTGAATTCTATTGCAAGCATTTTCAGCAATCAAAAGCAATACGATAAAGCGTTTGAATATGAACAACAAGCATTAGGGATAAGAGAGAAATGTAATCCATGTAGCCATGCAAATATTGGTAGAACTCTGGGTGATATGGGTAACACAATGTGTCTACGAGTTAAATATGATGAAGCTTTTGACTTCTATCAAAAGGCAATAACACACTACGAAATAGATTATCCTTTTGAATATGAGAGCATGGCTTTTACATTGGGTAATATTAGTTTGATTTTGCAATATGCGAAGAAAGTACAATGAAGCTCTAGATATACAACAGAGAGCATTAAAAATTCGAAAGAAAAATAGCCCATTTGTACACTCCATCATTGTCCAAAATCTCAAAGATATAGGGGACATAATTGATCTATGTTGAAATAGCTAGTTGTCTAGAAACGATAGTGATTATTGCGAATACAAAGCAAGATTTTGATTGTGCTATTGAATATTTAGAAGAATGTTTATGTATTAGAGAAATATTTAGACCAAAGTCAAAGAAATGGACATTTTTATGAACTCTCTTTAGCATATGAAATGAATAGTTGCCTGTTACATACGGAATTTTTACCAATGACTCGAATAGAAATTGATCAAAGTTTTTCTCGCATCGGTGAAAGTTATGAACATCTTAATCAACCTAAATTGGTACTCGATTATTACAAACGTGTACGATCTGTCTATAAAGATTATCTACCTATCTGGCATGCATATTGATGAAATATGTAATTCAATATAGAGCAGCTCTCATAAGAAACTCGTTTAAAAAAATCACGATACAAATGCTTATTTTAATACTGAAAATTGATATTGAAGATACGTAACGAACTATGTTTTGTTTCAACTTTACTACATACCATTCTATTCAGTACCCTTGCTTTCCATTTTTTTTGTTCTTAAGCCAATTAATCACTAATTATTTACGCGTTATCTTTTGTGCTCTATATATCTGTGTAATTTTCTTTCTAATCAACTAATAAGAAGACTGGTTAATTAATCATTTTTAGAGAATTGGGGCATTCAACTATGAAGAATGTCGTTTTCTTTAACGGTTCGTTTAGGAAAAGTTGTCTTTCAATGAAAATGGCCATGATATTGTTAATCGAGGTGACTTTGATTTTATGATAAAGATAGTATTGATCCAAACGCAAGTCACTATTTACTTTCAGTAATTTTCTCCGCAACTTATAATAATCTCTCATGTATAGACAACAATTAAATACAGTTAATACTTTTATCTTTCTGGAAAATAAACAGTAGCTGTGTAATAACCTTCCAATAAAAAGAAATTTCTTATGAATTAATACGTCGACACATATGTAGGGAGTACTAGCTTGAACGATAAATAGCATCTAATCATAGATCCTGCTTACATAGTAATCAGAAAAGTGTTTCATAATTAGCAATTACTCGTACAAAACAGACGGACAACACTTTTCATTTAGCTTTCATCGTTTCAAATCTTTTCATTGTCGAAGGACATTGAGCGCGATGCTATTGCCTATCAATAGTCTCAAGACATTTGGTACGATCTCTCCATGTCTTTCAAAATTCAGCAAGCACGAGCATTAGATATATGTCATTAATAACATTTCTTGTAGCTCAATGGTTACGTGTTAATAAAGTAAACACTGCACTCTAGGCAAGACTGTCAGGGGATTTTCATCCTTGTAGAATTGATCGATAGAATGAATAGTCGAATTGGAAAGTGATAGTCTGATTATGTCTTAATAAATAGTGCTCGCTGAATTTGTGTTCTTAAACATTCATCTAGATGCGTATGACAACCGAATAGAAAAGAGAAAAGAAAAACAACTACTCTTTCATGATTCATTAAACAAGTTTGTTGGCTTGTCCGAGCGTAAAAACGATTAAGTTTTGACTGTAGTACTTTTGTTTGACTTCTCATAACAATTTAAATCAGTATCAGAATTTAAGTGTGACGAATGTAATCCCAATAAATCAATAACGAGTGCAGTTAGTTGTTTTTTTTTCAAAGTTTTTTGAATAACAATAGATTCATATGACTAAAACGGAGAAGTATTATTACTGAAATATTCCTTTTCTAATCAGGAGTGAAGAAAACTGTTGTGGTACTATTGTGTTAATCTCAAGTTGGGTCTTTGTTATGTTAGGAATTGTGCATAGATCAATGTTTGATATTTCAAGGTATGCATCAAATAGGAATATATATTTTGGTTAGATTCTATTTTTAATCAAATCTTCTATTTCGGATAAGGATGAGAAGTTATTGTTATTGGTTACTAGTAACGAAAATTATTTTCTGAAAAGACAATTTTAGAAATATATATCGATAAAGATGCATTGTACTCGAAGAATTTTCTAATTATTTTCTCAAATGTCTTTTCATACTGTTTATTTCAGTGACTTCTATAAACGATCCTAACTGGAATAAAACCAAATTATAGCCCGAATCTTAGTGTTTTTGCTTTAATTCTTATATTTTGATATCGATACATGAAAAAAATGCAAGCGCACAAGGGACACCAAATAATTGAAAGTTTCACAATCAATCAAAGAACAAAAAACCAGAATTTTCATACTTCAGTGATATCTGATGCGTTATGAAGTATTTGCACTTTATTGTAAGAAAATTTGAATTTGGATCCTTGGTCAAACTCGTGGAATAGATGATCTAAAATATATGTGCGAAGATAACTAGAAAAGTTCTTCGAGTCGCTGAAAACCTAGGCTTGGTAAGCTTTTAAGTGTCCAACATTAGTATATCGATCTTCTTGGACATGCGTATGAAGATGAAGATCTTTCCTTCAATTACAGACATGCTCACTTACGCTCCGAAATACTAGTTTTCAACTCGTTCTAATCTTTATATAGATTGTATCGCAATGCCGATTTAATGAATAATTTTTAAAGAAAAGATGATCATGAAAATTTCCTCATGCGAAAAACTTTCAAATAGATCTGAGTTTAAATTTAATCTTCAAAGCAATTACAAAAAAATGCTTACATCTCTGAACTTGGGCATTTTTTAACTCACTTTTATGTAACACATGTATATTGAATGACTCTACATATCATGAAAAACGCAATCCTATAGATCTTTATTCTATCGCATTATTGTTAAAAAATCAGCATTAGCGATATGAAACAAAATTAACAGACTTTTTCACAGTGTACATTTCAATCTACAAATCCTACATGTGCAAATAGTGCTTTTGATACCTAAATAATGCATTCTGTAGAGGACTTTTTAGACCATAAAATCTCTACACAAAGTAAAGTTAATTCTAAATGGTGGCAAGCCTTCTTTTGGATTATCATATGATATGAAAACAACAGCTCTTGCTCTGATACAATAACAGATCTGTGGAAGACCGGCATTTTGAGAAGCTATTTTTTGGAGTTTGGTCTTACTGACAATGTCATCATAGATATAAACTATGACATAGAATCTATTCTCATAATTCTTGAAATTTTCCATCATAAGGTTAGGAAGTTATTCGCAAAATTAAGTTTAATTAATTGTGAACTTTTAAAGCCAATATTTTAATATATATATATATGCAAAGGAAAAGAACTTA